TTTTTTTTTCCTCTCTCTTTTTATGCTACGCTCGTTGGAATTGATAAAAGGAAAAAGATTGGGTTGGATAAATGAAACTAAGAGAGGATTTCAAAAAATATTCGGCGAGAAATGGAATCCTTAATGAATCCCCTCATTAATGCGTATAAACCAATTAAAGTGGTGGAGTTACGGGGAGATGACCAAATGAATTTATTGAAAATAGAGGATTTAATGGAGTTTGAAATACGAAAGAGAATCGAGGGGGACTAAATGAGATGCAGTTGTTTTCGAGTCTTTCGCCTCAAGGTCTGCTGTGGACGTGTGCATATCTTGTGGCCGATTAATTGTCGATGATTTTTACTTTTTTCATCATCGGCTTCTTTTTTTTTCTCTCTCTCTCTCTCTCTTCTCTTGCATCCATTGGAAAAGAGCAAGCGGTGTTGTATATAGTTAATGGTTATTGGCTTGTGATATTTATACACGCGTACGGGAACATTTCATAAAACGTTTAGGTATTATACCGTTGGCGAGATGCCAGACTGGAGTGACTTATAGGTTACAACTGTACACTCACTATTGCTGATTGTCAATTAGCCGTGATGATGTTTTTGCAGGCTGTGAAAAGCCACTAGCTGCGGAATATTATTCCAATGCGTGGGGGAAAAAGGGTAATGAGAAGTAGATTGCCGAACGAAAGATTAAAAAACCAGAGATTATCATCAGAAAAAAAAATGCGCACATTATCTTAAAAGTTACTACCTCCAATTGGGAGTGATATTCCTTCGAGGTTTCATTCCAACGTCAAAACTTCAAGCTTCGAATTATTAAATACTTGGAGTGACGATTAAAAGAAGAACTCAAGTTACGATATTCGAAAGTCTCAATTTCTGACTTTCCAAAGTCTGAATTCATGACCTTGACAATCTTTGGGGTATGGTTAACACTGCCGAGGCATTAGTTAACAGTCATTTCGACATGTCTATTCGAATTGATATTGAAAAGGAATGATGAACTCACCCAGAGCGTATGAGTGAGGATGCAGATCCAAGTCCAAGTCCAGCTCCTCCAGCGGTAGGATCAGCAGCGACGAGTTCCGAGAGAACAAGAACAGTGGTGGTGGTGTTGGAAGGTACCGAAGCACCTACACCCCTTGGTAAATCATCATCATGCTGCAGCTGAAGACCAGGATAATGATGAAGATGAAGAGTTGTTGGTGTCTGATGACGAGACGCACCGATGAGACTTGCCCGTACACCCTGTGGTGTTGGTGGTGGCGATGGTGATGGTGGTGGTGGTGGATACTCCACCACCTGAACCCGATCAGCCTCGCTCTCGTAAATAATCTCCTTGTCGTGTGTGTACATTACTGTCTTCTGTCCATCATTGTAAATGAGATCAATCATCTTGTGGCCCAAATTCGTTGGATTGCCTTCTGGACTTACGCGCCCATTAGCATCATCATCTCTCTGTATCTCGTCGTCATGATGATTACTCTGATGACGCGCACCATGATGATTATTGTACTTGTGATGAAGCGTATGATCGCTCTCATGGAGATCGATAACACTGACTGGTTGCATTGTTGCGAGTAAAACCTGATCGTTATCGTTTTGATTCTGGCTGCTGAGGCATGAGGAAGCTGGTGATATCGGGCTCTCGTGCACCTGGAGATGAGTATCAATTTTTCAATGAGAGAGTACCAAAATTATGGCACATGATTTATCGAATTCCTTGGTGATGACGCAAGTAAGCATCAACATTTTCGAATGCTAATGGCAGAGCCCAGTGGAAATAACATTGATAACATAGTTTAATGAGAGGATGGAATAAAAAAAATTAAAAAATCTCAAGACCGACAGAGTGTCAGGCACTTCTTCATAATAATTAATCGACTTGGTGGGTAATACTTGGTCACGAGTTGGAGAGAACTCGGGATAATTAATTCCTTCGATAACCCGAGTTCTTGATCGAAACGATAAGATGGTAAGTACTCTCATACCCAGCCATATATATATTTTTTTTTTATCCTTCTATAACATTCTTCTATCTCACTTTTTCATGACAATTTGTCGGTAAAAATATGGAATTGTTAGCAATTAACATATCTCATGTTGCCAGGTAATTGATCATTGATCGATAAATTATTATCAATGCGTTTGGAATTTGAATTGTTTATTGTCAGACGTGATGATGAAAAATAGTGGAAACATACCGGTGACAGGGCCTCCTGCATGTGCAGTACTGAGGTATCGTCGTTCGTGCAAGTTGACATCCTCGTTTCTTCAAGTCTTCGTTTATGAGGTTAAGATTAATGAAAAACCAAATAGTCTTTCGTACTTGTGGACACACCCCCGGCTCTTTTCCCCTTATAATATCACAGCTGACTGGACGTTATGGCACGTTTTATAGGAGTCATGGAAAAGGCACGGATGTTAACATCTACCTGTCAAACAAAACCAGAATCATCTTCATTAATGAAATCACTGGGTTAACCGGAGTTGATTCTGGGAGAGGGGAAAAACGGGTATTTCAGTTTCATTGACCTGATCCGTCTATTGATTTACATTGAGGTAGGGAACGTGGTGATAAGTTGCCTAGACAGCTTTGACTGAAGGTACTATTACGAAGGACAAAATGCTTTTCCACCTAGTTCCTATCATCATTAATAGATCATCTGTTTATCCTGATGACGATGAGTCAACGTATCTGGCTGACATAGGGAACTGAATCAACATTTTGGCACACTAATCACTAGAACAAATAAGAAAGAAGAAGTCTTCTCATAATAGAACAACTCCGAACCGGATCTGTTCGTCTTTGGAAAGCATATCTTTGAATGAAAAAATATTAAATATTTGTCCTGCAGTTATCATGAGAGCCAGCTTCCTCGTCGATTAGTAACCCCTGACATATTTTCAACAGCTCCACAATAGGTTGATAGCCCGGACTACCGTAACCACCTGTACCTCACGTTGTTTGTATACTCTCGTGGACGTTAGCAAACATGCGGAAGTAAAAGTAAAACGAGTTGAGGTTTTTTAAAGTGATCGTAGTGTTGGATGGGGTTGAGTTTTAAAAGAAGAAGGAGGATGAAGCAGGTTCAGCCGGTCTAACCTGATTCCACCAAAGGACCCACCTCCGTTTGTATTTCAAGTAGCCGCTTACGCCCTCGCGGTGCCCTCCTGGCATCATGCCACAAGGTAAGCCGTTTTCTGTCTACCAACACACATCAAAAACCACTGGGGATCACTCCTCAACAAGTTGAATCAACGAGATTCATTCAAGTTGTCGACATGCCAACGAGTTTTCAGTCGTTATACGACTGATCCAGTCGACTGTTCTCGCTCAACGTCATTCTACCAATGTCTAATGAAAACAGCGATCCACCTGACACACCATCAGGTTGTCGTGGTGTACTCGTTGGATTTCATCGGGTTCGGTTTATCCAGTTAAATTCAATAGTGTACTTACTTGGTGCGTGTTGATACTTTTGGTGTCTTCTGGTGAGCGTCGCACGGCATCACCCCAGTGTTCAGTGCTTCGATACTTAATTATTTCACTTAGTAATTTTAAACTGAGGGAGTGAGTGTATGAGAGGGGGGAAGTCAACTACAAACTACCAAGAGTATATCTCTACTTCCGGATCACATCTCAGCGGTTCTTGTCACCGGGTCTTCATCCAATCTACAAAACACCCATCACCACCACAGTCACTCACTACTTGCCAAATATCAAGTCAGCTTATTCCTCACCAATGTCAAATATCCTTCACCTCTTTGACTTCACAACTCACTTCACCCAATGTATCACATAAAGTATCGTCGCTTAAAATCTTAATCGTCGAGGCGTCTCGTCTCAGCCTCGTAGTCGATGAAACAGCACCCGGTACCAGTTGGTAGTATCAATAGTCGAGTAACACTCGGTCTTTTAAAAAAATATTCAAATATCAACAGTAGTAATTCAACCTCTCACCCACACAATGGAGACGAATGCTCACTCAAACCATTGAAAAAATAGATTTTTCATTGACAAAATGAGATAATATACCAACGAAAGAAGCTAAACCTCGCGCGCACCAGAGAGTTCTCTTCTCATCGAGATAGACAACATGGCCGCCTTCCAGCATCCAAGCCTTCCCCACCTTATTCCCCTCACCTCACCACACTGTACCACAAGATCCCTCTTACTCACCAACATTTCAAGCCTCCCCGCCAATTATCCTCCATCCTCATTCCACCTGCCGCCTACGGACTCACCTCCGTCCTTATTCAGCTGACAGTATCTACACCTGAGAATATCGAGTGGAAGCAGCACCGACTAACCTGTCTCCATCTCACATTCTATTCCCACCATGACTCCGGGGGTCTCTTACTGCTTCGTCTCTCTTCTTGAGAGCTCAGATACCCTCCCACTATCCGCTCCAACCACCAACGGTCAAGTCAGGTAATGCGAGATGGAGCGAGAGGGCCCTATTGGGGCCCACTCGGGCACACTTGGGTCCACTGGGGCTTACTGTGGCACGCAGGGGGGTGAGGAGGGGGTATGCAGGTAGCCCGGCTTTTTCTTTAAAACCAAAACTCTCAGAGTAGGTATTGGCGATGACGATGGAGATGGAGAGGTACCCTTTTGGCGGTGGGAGAGGGATGGCGAGAGCTTTTCGAGTCAGGGGAAACGTCTCCGTCACCCTGGGAAGCGTTTATCTTCCTTTTCGTCGGGCCCAATGTGCAACTGAGAGAGAGGCCCTTGTCCAGGGGCTACGCTAGTGGAAAAAAATTGAAATTTCAGGGACTATTAACAGGCATCATTTTAAAACTGTGTTATTATTTATAAATAAATGGAATGTTTATTTGGTTTTGCATGCAGATTATGCTGATTGCTGTGGCTTTTGTCGAGTAGATTAAGTCATGACAGGAAAATCACTCTTTCATTTGATTATAGTTTTTTTATGCAACTTTGCTGAGTGAATTCACTTCGGAGGTTTTTTAGTAATTTTTTATTAACGTCCACGGGGATTGAGGCGCATTGGGATGACGGGGATTATGTCACTTCAGCTGTGTAGATTTTTTATGGAAATTCTAGTCTTACATGCGTTAGATTCCTCGTTGGAAAGTTTGTAGGGAAGGATTGAGTGGAGATTGAAGAGGGAAGTTGTGGAAAATTTTGAGAAAGATGAGAATTATTTGGTGATGTTTTGGGTTATTCTTCGGGGACATACATGACTCGACTAATTTCACTTTTCGAACGCACAAGTGCCTCCTCTTCAGCTGCATGCATTACTGATGGTAGTAGTGAATTAAAATAAAATACACAGGAATATACATGAGGAGGTCGACAGTTGCCTACCAATTTTGACAAATCAGGTCATTATAGGCTTTTTAAAAAATTCTGTAAAGTTTCTGAATCTTAAAAATTCGATGATTCGCAGATGGAATTTCACACGATCCAAATTTACAAAATTTATTACGGAAGATTCCGAAGAAAATATTAACCGCACTATATACACAAAATAAATATTAATTACACGCACGTATATTCCGGTAAAAAAATGCAATATGTCACATATAATTGTTATCATGAATTTTGTTCGTGAGGAAAATTACCGAGCGTTAGGATAAATTTCACTAGAAATTTTGATCCGCAGTTTGGGTGGATTGAATTTTTGATGATGGAATGGAAGAATTAATTCAGAGGAATTAAACCTCGGTGTGTTGGATAAAAAAAATCTACAGTGTGTTGTGAGGATAGAGTGGGTGAGCCAAGAGATCTGGAGGAAGGGAGAGCTCGTGAAAAATGGGTACCCAGTGAGAGAGGACAGCCTGGGGCTATGTCCGAGGCCTAATGCGACTCTTCCCCGCCAACACTATCAAGGAGGGACTCATCTTGTGGAAAATTTTCAATTGAATTAGAAGTCATCGGGCCCAAGTGATCGATGTATTCGCGTCAACATTTCATTCGCGCGAGCCATTTCATTCGCTCGCGCATTTCTGGTGGAAAGAGGCATTACATGCCTGATCAGTGCCTGATCTCAGATGGGATCCATAACTCGTCAGGAGCTGAGTTCAATTTTCAATCGGGATATAACAAGGATTGAGCCTGAGAATTCGTGAGTGCCCTGGTAACTAAGATGGCAACAGTAAGGGACACAGCATTTTTCTTTCAATAATTTAATTAAAATTGAATCGTAATTAATTGCCTGAGGACTGTCTGAGCAGTGTCTGATTTCAGCCTGCATCCATAACT